AATTGTATTATGAGTTTCACTCAGTTTATGCTTAGGGTTTGGTATCTCTCTGTTGTTTTCCATGTTTTCTGATCAACAATGTACGGAGGATCTGGGGAGTATGGACAAAGGGATAAAGGATTTAATATAAATTTCCTTGACTAATGTAAACAACTTATGGTAAAGGATCATGGGTAAGATCAAGTTTATATGAAATTATTCTATACATATAACATATGAATCTTTTGGCCTGCATTCAATCTGGTACATTAAATATCATGGAAGCTTTGTAATGACTTCTCTTTTAAATTATTTATTTCTTTAAAATGCCATGTATTTGTGGTAGTGAGTGATTGGTGAAACATTTATGATTTCATGTTGTCATTGCTGTGATTTCTTCTTGGTTTTTTATGATTGATGTTTATCATAGCTTCCTGAAGACGGGTCCATGTTCATGAAGTGGTTGGTTGAGATTATGTCCTTGCCTTCTATTAGGAATTAGTATCTTGTTGAAGCTTTGTTTCTTTCAAAGATTTTGAAGTCATGATTTTTGTTTCCTTCATTATGCACTTGAACCATGACAAAGAATTCTTCTATTAACGTTTGTTTCTTATGTAGTATGTCCCTTTTTTGTTTCAAGTTTTGAGATACCTATTAATAGTTTACTTGAAAGTGTCGTGCCTTTTACATTGTAGTCATTTTTCTTGCTCAGTTTTTTCTATGTATTTAAGAAGGTTGCGGATGACTTGTGTTGTCTTATTACTCATTTGTATCAACAGAGATCAAGCAAAGAAGCAATAGGTTCATGGGTTGCATAACATAGTATATGCCTATTAGCTTCTCTGATATGGATTTAAGCTAGCTTTTGTGTGGAAGAACACCCATATTTAAATGCTTGTTTTGACGCAGTAACCAGAAAGACAAATCAAGCTCTTTCTAGGCTGCATCCTCATGCAAATTCCTTCTACATGCCCAAGGCAACCTGTCTGTCAGAATAACCAGCATATCAGCTCCTACCATTCATTCCTGGAATCCTTCATTCCTATTACATGATAGACTATAAATTGATGGTTTAAGATAAGATAGATTAATAGGATTATTTCAAAATTTGTTTATTGTAAAATTACACAGGCTGTGGAAGTTATCTCTTTTTTCGTAATTTCGTATGTGTGTGAGTGCTGGTGGTTTTCCTGAGCTCAAAGAAACTACATTTAGATTTGTGATGGGGCCTATCTGCACGTAGTTGTACTGGTTTATGATTATTGTTATAATGCTAAGAGATTGATGTAAGATGATGCTGTTATTTTATTTATTGTTCTATAGGATGCAAGGTTACCGAAGAGGAAAGAGAACTATGGTTTGGTTCTACTTAGATCAAAATAGAATGAAATGTATTGTGTCTATTTAGTGATTAATTTTAGTGTAATTTATTATGATTGTATGTGAATGTATTGTGGCTATCATGTGAATATGTACAAGTTCATTCAAATAGAACTTGATGTGCATAATAAACTGAAGATTATATAAATTATGTGTATCAAAATATGAATATTATGGTACATAATATGTACATAATCTTGAGGTTATTATGTACATAATATATACAGATTATGTACATAATCTTTAAGTTACGATACACTATTAAATCTCATAATATGTTAACTTTTACTTTTACATGTTAACTTTCATAATAATATGTTAACTTTCACTTTTACATGTTAACTTTCATAATAATATGTTAACTTTCTTCATAAATTATGTTAACTTTCATCATTATATGTTAACTCTCCTCGTAACATGTTATTTTTTAGCTGAACATATTAACTTTCATCATAATATGTTAACTTTCACTGTTACATATTAACTTTCATAATAATATGTTAACTTTCTTCATAACAAGTTTTTTTGAACTAAAATTCGATGTGTTTGAAAGACTAAAAGTCCCTCAAGATGATTTATCATTGATATATAAATTATTGACATATACAAACCATAAGTGCGTGAATCCATGAAAAGCCTAAACCAGTAACTCATTCAAGCAATTCATCAAACATACATAAAACGAGCAAACCCCATCAGAATTATCCTAACTCGTGCATTTCATCAAACATATAACATTAACAATAACAAACTCAAACATGTACCTAAAAATTAGCAAACTTCAATCTCTAAACAAAGTTCTATATTAAAACCCGCATCAGTTGGAAATCTAAGTCAGACCCCAAACACAAAAGTAAACAAAGCATGGAATTACAAGCTGCACATAACAATGTGCTACAAAAGTCTTGACAATCTACATTGCGCTACCAAAAGTATTATCCTAACAAGCAATATCGACCCAAATCACCAATTGCTTTGTTACAATTAGCTTGATTGTGACCTTCAGAGAAGGAGGCAGATGATTCTCAAAGAGCCTCATGTCTCAATCCTCACCCGCCAATGACTCGACATGGTACCTCTTTGCTCTCCTCTCTCTCCTCTCCACTGACATCCTCCCTCCTCCTCACCTCTTCCTCGTTTTAACAATGCTAGCTTTCACAAGATAACCAGTAAATAACATTTGGATAAGGGGTATTAGACAACTAATGCTATACATGTCACGAAAAAGCTTTAGCTCTTTATCATTACAAGCATCATGTCATGTCCGCTGTTGCAAACTAAAAATGTTGCATTTAACCCGAACATCCTAAATTTCACGTGGGCATGTTAACTCTCATCTGTATATAGTAACTTTCAGGTGTATATGTTAACTTCTTACGAATATGTTATATTTCATCTCTTCACGCTAACTATCACCTGAATATATTAACTTTCAGCATAATATGTTAACTTTCACTGTTACATGTCATCTTCTTTATAACATGATAACATGCAACTGAATATGAGCATAATATGTTAACTTTCACTGTTACATGTCATCTTCTTTATAACATGATAACATGCAACTGAATATGTTAACTTGTCAAATGTACATGTTAGCTAATGTCATCTTCTTTATAACATGATAACATGCAACTGAATATGTTAACTTGTCAAATGTACATGTTAGCTACACTATAACCTCAAGATTATGTACATATTCACATGACAGCCATAATACATTTCACATACAATTGCAATAAATTACACCAAAATTGATCACTAAATAGACATAATGCATTTCATTAAATTTTGATCTAAGTACAGCCAAACCACAAGAACACATAGTATAATCAACTGAACAATGAAACATGACACGTTACAAGCAATTCTGAAGAAACTACACAAGAATAAAGAGTACAAACAGTCCTATTATAAAAATTAACATCTTCTTCCTCTTTTCTTCTGCAGCTCACCCATCAAACTTATTTATTCTCTTCTCATTTTCACAATCTCATCCAAGCAATAACAAGCTTCATGTTCTTGTTTATTCAACTTAAACTCTCCGGATTCCCCCTATTCTTTAACCCTTAACCTACGCCTGAACTCCTCCATCCACTGCAATAGTATAATGTATGCTGATGCCAAGTGAAAACCATGCTAATCCAACTTTCCTTCTGAATCAGACAACGTCCGTTTCTCAAGCAAGACTGATGCACTAGCCAATTCCTTAACCAGCAAAGCCTCCTCATCAATCAACATTTCGAGTAGGTCATCCATCGAAAGGGGAAGAGTCCCTAAATCCTTAACCATCGAAACTACACTAGGACAAGAATTCAACACGGAGTTGCAAGTTCGAACAAAATAACCAATCCGCAACACCCTCATATTTCTAATCCAAGTAATCATTTCCGCCAAATTTCCATAGTCACTATAACAAGAGAGCACCAAATTCGCAGAAACTGTATCAATTCCAATTTCAACATCCTCCATTCTCCCAATCACTCTCCTCATCTCCTTAAACGACCCCAACCGTCCATACCCTTGAATCACCACTTTATACTCAAACCCCAATGGCTTAAACCCCAAGTGACCCATTTCATTAAGCACCTCCTCTGCATCCTCAACCATACCCACCAAGCTCAATCCTCTGACCATACACTCAAACACCCTTTTCCCAACAAAACTCGTATCTTTAATCCGACCATAGCATTCCAAAACAAATTTTTTCAATCCTCTACCTGACACAGCAACAATGAGGTCACAAGTAGAGGGCGGCCCTGAGTAGGAGACAATGGTGGAGCGTTGGCCGACAATTGAGAGGAGGATGGCGAAGGAGCGGGTGTCGTTGGAGAGGGTCTGGTCGAAGTAGAGGGCGGCGGTGGAGGACCACCACTGGGAGAGGGAGGGGGAGGGGGGAGATTGAGAGGAGGAGGAGGGGAGGAGATTGAGAGGAGGAGGAGAAAGCCACAAAGGAGGAGAAGAAGAAGAAGAAGATAAGGGAAGGGGTATTTTCGGAATGTTTTGGGATGACTTCACGTGAGAGTGTGAAAAGGGGGCTGAACACATTTTTTTGGGTTTTTTGGGTTAAAGAATAAGAGAAAAACATTGAGGGACTGGGCCACATCCTCTTTATTTTTTAGGGGCCTAGGCACATTTTTCCCAAAAGTTTTCTCAAAATTAGAAACTCTATCTAATCATAAAAGAAGTATTTTCTACTTAATTCAATAATTTAGAAGAGTTTACGCTTATTTCATTAGAACAAGGGAATTTTCTTTTACATCTTGATAAACTATGCCAGTATTTATTGTTAACAACTTTCCTAGACATATTATCCCACTTGCTCAACGAGGGGGGTAAAATACAAATCCAGTAGATTTTTTTCCCCATCTGAAAAAGAGAGAGTGTAGTGTATTTTTCTGTGATTTAAACTTATTTTTATTTTCACAAAGCTTTGCTTGAGGGCTTGTTTGGATTGAGGGGAATGAGGGTGAAGGGAAGTTAGGGGAACCATTCACCTCTATTCACCTTGTTTGGGAATACTTAGGAGGTAAAGTTAATTCACCCTAGTTCCTCTTGGTTCACCCTCTAATAATATAAAATTTGTTACCCTCTAAATTAGGGTGTAATAAAGAGGAAGGAAACTCTCTTCCCTTCTCTTCCCTTCCCTCAGTTTCCCTTTTAGCTTCCCTTCACCCATTACAAATCCAAACAGGCCCTGAACTTAATAATGACGTAATCGCTGTCTGCAGCGTCTCCTCACAAAAATTCAAACTATGTCCGACCAATTTCCGACCTTCTCTTCTCATCAAATCCCCCAACAAAACCCTAATCCTAGCCCTAGCCCTAACCCTAACCCTAATTTCGACCCCCAAATCCCCTCCAATGGCAAGCGCAGGCGCACTGGCCTCCGCCGCAAGC